GAGAGAGAGAGAGAGAGAGAGAGAGAGAGAGAGAGAGAGAGAGAGAGAGAGAGAGAGAGAGAGAGAGAGAGAGAGAGAGCATGACAGGGCGGCCATACAGGCCTCAAATGGCCATCCACAGTGGCGTTCTCGGCTCCATCACAGGCAGCGGCATAACAGAAACATGGGACGACTGACAACTTTCTGTTATGCCCCAGTAGCTCTGTCCCAGGCCCACAATTGCATGCTGAGACCATAGATGGTACCGGTAGGGACATTTCAAAAATATTTGTGCTGGTACGGAACGGCTATCCGGTAAGGGCACAATGAAAAGTTGAACCGGTAGGGGCACAATGAAAAGTTGAACCTGTAGGTAGGGCACAATGAAAAGTTGAACCTGTAGGTAGGGGCACGATGACAAGACTTAGGCCCCAACCGACGTTAGGGTCTTTTCGCAATCTCGAACCCTAGTCAGAGGGGCACCGCAGGATTAATAAGTGATCAGGGGGGCGTGAAACAAGTCAACGCAACTTCGAGGGCAATGGGCCAGATCTTCCCTCCCCACTAAAAGGAACCTCATAGTTGAGGGCAATGGGCAACTTCCGCTCGCTTTGAGGGCAATGGGCAACTTCCGCTCGCTTTGAGGGCAATGGGCCCAGATTGATCAGATTTTGAGATATGTACACTAGGGATCGAGTTGACAATTAGTTGAAAGTGAAGAGAGTTATCGGTAAGCTAAGCTGGCTAGGCTGCCAGAGTTCCGTGGCCCAAAAAAAAAAAAAAAAAAAAGAGTTCCGTGGCCCCCAGGTAGACTGTGAGGACCCCGGCCTCGTTTACTGGCCACTGGGCCTGGGTTCCCTGGGCACTGGGCCCGTTTTTCAAAAAAAAAACAAAAAACAAAAACAGGAACCTCGTAGCGGAGTCGACGGACTATTGGCCAAAAGCACCAGTGGGGAAGACCCTCGGGCCGGGCGCGGCCATTCGCATACCCGCCAAGGACACCTGTAGGGGGGACTCCTCTCGCGGAACGGCGATGACCCAGGGAAGTGGGATGGACAGCGGCTGTGGTTCCCGCCCGTTGTATTCAAAATTTTGAAAATCTTCCAAGAGCTGGTCGTAAATGAAACGGCAACGAAATTAGCCTCCGTCCTCGGCACTACCGGTAATCGCTACAGATCGCCACAGACAGTCGAGAATACGTGCAGCAAATAGCAAATGCCAGTCGTGCGCAGGCAGTTCGATCATGGATTTGTGTTTGTATGCTCGCGCAGTGTCACCGAGTGACGGCGCCGAATCCGCTCATGCGGCAAGTGATTCATTTCCTTACGCCGTTCTTTTTGTTGGCGCGATCGGTCGACCGGCGGTCTTCGCTGTACGAGAGACAGAAGATTAGAAATGCTTCCACCTCTGGCAATTGCTGTTCATCTGCTCCTGTATACATCTGCCCTGCTCGTTCGAACGTGAAGATCAATCACGTAAGATCAGTCGTGATTATGTTCTTTTACCCGGATGTCAGGTCCGCTAGATTTGCGAAGTCCGCGGAGGCCGTCCCCACATTATCTCCTCCATGACTAGTTTCTCATATCCGTGACGTAGCTGAGTTGCCTCGAGGCGAAGAGCTAGCAATCACACATACGCACACACATCATCACAGGCACACACACACACACACACACACACAGAGACAGAGAGAGAGAGAGAGAGAGAGAGAGAGAGAGAGAGAGAGAGAGAGAGAGAGAGAGACGATAGGGCTCGTGGAGAGGGCGGACGGGGGTGCAAACCGTTCGTGGGGGTGCAAACCGTTCGTGGGGGTGCAAAACGTTCGTCAGTTGGAGAAGAGCTTTGCTTTTGCTTCGCGATTCTGTTGCTGATGGGTTTATCGTTAGAGCGTCCTATTGGCAGCCCGCCAGGGTGTCGGGCGGGGTCTCAGGGTGGAAGATCTTGCGCAGTCGGTGCAAAAACTGGTGATGCAGGTCTTGTGCAGTCTTCCTTGCGCTCTTTCTTCACTCGGCAGCTCTCTGGGCTTGCTGTCCCTGGGGTCTCAGCGGCGACGGAGACGGCTTCCAAAGCAGCTGCTGTCGCAGGGGAATCAACCAAAAGGGGGGAGAAGGGCTCATCGATGGCTGGCTACGGAGTCGAGGCAGGCAAGAAACGCCATCGCGAGCCCGCAATTTTATATACCTCTGCTATTGCCTCCGGATTGGATATGGAGAATCTGTCCTCCCCATTTGCGAGCGGGGTCGGGATCGCCAAGGAGACGACGAAGGAGGTTGGCAAACCCAGTAGGCCGAGATCGCGACGGGGAAGGTCCAGCGGACATCCAACGGATAGTACGCCGTCTTCCGATGTCGGCGTCGGGGACAGCCGTCCGATGAAAAGAAAGCGCTTGAACGATGACATTGAAAGCGCGAGCGAGCGGTGTGCTTCAACGAATAACGTGGACGTTCCGGATGATCCCGGGTCGGGAGATCGACGGGTGATAGGAAGTAGGAGAAAGAGGGTTTCCGTTGGGGACTGCGTAGGGGGTCAGCAGCAGGCCGATACACGCCTGGAGGGCGGCGGTCAGCAGCAAGAGAGCCGTGAGGTGAAGGTGGCGCAGGAGGCGGTGCTGGCATCCCAAGGAAGAGGGCCAGATCCACAGCAGCAACTGTCGAACTCCGCCGCCCTCAGAGAGAGGAAAAGAGATGATGAGGGAGTGCGTGGGGAGGAGGGCGCCGATGTCAGCAAGCCAAGAACCGAAGCGCGCGCGGGCGCCGGGGCAGATGTGGGGGCCGGCGCGCACACGAAGGCCGAGGATGAGGACCCCGTTGGGGCAAGCGCACTTGCGGAGGCCGAGGATGAGGGTGAGGGTTGCGCTGCTGGGCTTACAGATGGCGGAAAGGACAAACACTCTTCTTCACGTGTGCTGATGCAGTGCGAGCACGCGGCGAAGGCGATGTTGCCTGTCCTTGCCTCTGGGAGTGCGAGGGAGAGTGAGCGCGAGAGTGATGACGATGCAGACCCAGCCGTCGCTGGATCCTTGGATGGCAATCAGAAAATAACCGGTCTCGGGAACCGACCCGTTCTTCTCGCCGACCCGGCCGACATGGACGTCGCCCTCATCCGGTTGAATCGGCAGAAGGTAGGGGGAGGGGCTGATGAGGGGCTATCTTTTTCGCGGTCCGCGGTGAGCAACAAGAACCCTAACGTAAGTCGGGGAGGCGTCCTTGATGATGACGACGGCGATGGCGGCGAGCTTGGGACCGCTTCAAGGCTGGTTGGGAACGGTAGTGTCGGGGGAGGAGGTGAAGTTCTCAGTCGTGATGAGAGATGGTCGTCGGAGGAAGACGAAGGTCTCTGCGAGTATGAGCGTCTGCGGGCGCAGACAATCCGGCGAAATAGGTCAGTTTTGGAGCAGCTTGGACTGTTTGAAGCCTCGGCGAAACTTCAGCTGACTAGGAAACTGTCAGCTGGAAACAACAGCACTAATGGGAGTGGTGGTCGGAAGGGCGGCAAGCCGCGGAAGTCGGCAGTAGTAGCGGCGGAGAGCCCCCAGCCACTGCGACGCAGCCTCCGAACGCGGGGGATCTCCGCCGCGCCTGGTCCGGGCGAGGGAAATGCCCGAGCGAATGGCGATTCCTCGTCTGCACGAGGAGACAACGATGGTGAGGAGGGAAAGCAGGAGGGGGAGGAGGAAGAGGAGGAGATGGACATTGAGTATGATGATTCGTCGGTGCTAAGGTACATGTGCGCGAGCCGCGCTGGCTCCGCCGAAGGGCTTAAGGCGGGGGCGGCGAACTGCGCCGCATTGAGGGCAGTGCCCAGCAACGAGGAGGCGATGAGGACTCATTATTGCAGGGGAGAGAAAGACGATGGCTCGGTTGGTGCCGGCGGCGCGCTCAAAGGCGTGGTATTGAGGAGCCAGAGGGAGCTTATAGACGCTGGAAGAAGGGTTGTTGGGTTTCGTCCGTCGGGTAAGGTCTTAGGGGATGGCGCGCTCTCGAAGATCTACTGTATGGATCTGTGGGAGGGGGAAAACTCCCTCTTGATTGCCGGTGGCCATCTAGGCCGGATGGCGGTGTTTGGCGTCGGAGCTGTGAGAAGAGGATGGGGGAATGTCGACCACGACGCCGAGGAGCATGATGATGGTGGCAATGCAGGAGAAAATGCGGAGGGTCCCTTGCTGTCGTGGAAAGGAAGCAGTGGCTGGGCGTCTTGCACTCAGTTTCTCTCCCGTCAGGACCAGGTCGGGATCCTCGTCAACCCACTAGCCGGCTTCCCCCCGCACATAACGTTATGCACTCTAAAAATGAATGTATGCAAGCTATATTTCCGGCGAGATACCGCCAAAATAAGGGTGCGTTGTGTTCGGGGGAAGACGCTTGCCGTCTTCCTCCGAATACAACGCGCCCTGAGTACGAATCTATGCTGACAATGTATCTAGCCCGCGTCTTCTTCACCCCGAACAAGACGCACCCTGATTATGCGTGTGTACCAGCTATCTTGTCCGGTCTTATTCAGTCGCAATGAGGGTGCGTTATGTTTCGGGTGAAGACGGTAGCCTTTTCCGTATCAAACAGAAAGAAAGCCTCAAGAAGCATCGAACATTTTTGACGAAATTGGTAGTGTTCCGCTGTCTCGCTTTTTCTCCCCTTTCGCTACCTTTCCAGTCACATTCATTTATCTTTCTTTTGCTCTGTTTGGCAATTTTTCTCCCCTTTCGCTACCTTTTCCGTCACATTCATTTATCTTTCTCTTGCTCTGTTTGGCAATCTGCTACTTTCGGTGTTTCTCTCGCATTGACAACTCTCTCTCTCTCATCTCTCTGTGTGAGCTTTCGTCCGTCTTTGTTTTCTTTCGGTTTTGTCAGTGCCTCTAAATTCTCTCTCTCTCTCTCTCTCTCTCTCTCTCTCTCTCTCTCTCTCTGTGTGAGCCTTCGTCTCTCACTTCTGTTACTTTCCGTCACTTGAGTGCTTTTTCGTCCTTGGCTGTCCTTATGTCTCCACGAATCCTCTCCTTTTCCCCCGCAGGCTTGTCGTCTCTAAACTGTGCCCGTATGTCTGTCAGGCTTTCTGTTCCTCTTTCTCTCTCTCTCTCTCTCCCCTTTTCTCTCTCTCTTCCTCCATCGATGGAAAGTCCCAAGAACCTCTTTCTTGCATGAATTCTCTCTCTTTCTTTATCAAAATCCTTTTCCCCCGCAGGCTTGTCGTCTCTAAACTGTGCACATCTTGTCCGTAGTGGTTCTCTTCTGTGTCCGTCTTTCTTTATCAAGTTCTTACACCTTTGGCGGCTAATGCATACAAAGGTCTCGTCGCGTTTGGCGGCGAATGCATACAGAGGTTTCGTCGCGTTTGGGCAAATGCATCCAGTCGCGTTTGGGGCCAAATGCGTACGAAGGTTTCGTCGCGGACTGCAATCGCGTCTGGGGGCATATGCAATCGCCCACTTTGTCTCGGACTGCAATCGCGTTTGGGGGCAAATGCATACAAAGGTTTCGTCGCGTTTGGGGTGGGGGGCATTGATAAATTTTCCCGAAGTGCCGGGTGTTCCTTCCCCCCACCTCGCGGGAGATGCATTCACCATTTTGCACCTTTGGTGCCATTTGGTGGGTAGTGCGGCGAAGCCCTATACACATGCACATTCACCATTTTGCACCTTTGGTGCCATTTGGTGAGCAGTGCGGCGAAGCCCTATATATACATATGCGTGGCATTTCGCATCTTCAAGATACACGGCGGCGACAGATAACGCGGCTTTGGAAGAGCATAACGTTTGGGTTAGTTCCGCAAGGTATGCTTCTCTTATTACTGTATTACTGTATTACTGTATTACTGTGTTATTCAATTAAAAAATGAAGACAACAACCAAGTGACGAGCTTAACATTGCGCGCACCTTCTGTTCTTCTTTTTTGTTTACTTTGCTTGTTTCTTTTATGTTCCTTGTTAGTCCGGGAACTATCGTTGAAGTGGACAACCAATCGCATTTCGAATTAGGGCTCGTAGCTAGCTTGGCGTGGCGTACGTCTCCCAACCTGCCTATCACCCACGGTACTTCCCCGAATAGTATATTAATGCGTGGTGGTTATTGTGCATGCATGTGACCTGAAAGTTCCCCCGCATTCAGCTCGTATTCTGGCTATATTGTGCCCTGATATATATATCGTCAAATAGAACTGCCCGGTAAACCGTAGGCAGAGAGGGAGAAGAGGACAACAAACGAGGGGCTGTGACAAACTGTTTCGTCGGCGTTTCACCGACTCATATATATATCGTCAAATAGAATATATATATATATATATCTTCTATGCTGTGGCTAAGATAGTCGGTGTGCGTGCACCCCACGCAAGCAGTAGACAGAGACTGACATGATGGCCTTTTTGTTGGAGGGTTGGGCAACCCTCACTTGCCCTTGACACTTGCCCCTTTCTTGTTTGTCTGTGGGACAACCTCCACCCTCCTGTCGTCTTTTCAGTGCTCGGTTCAAGCCCTCCTCTTCCCATCCCTATTGCACGCCATCTGGGCATCCAAAACGTAGTCTTGTTTGTGGGCTCGGGAAGGTGTTTGTCAGCTTCGCTTCGCGCCTTCCGACTCTTAACTCTTACAGTAAGGGCCTCGCTGCACTACTCTCGAAATGTGCGAAACGAGAGTGAATCTTCCGCTAGAATATGGAAAGATACACCGCCATGATTTTTGTCTGTTCTGCATTTCGAGAGTAGTGCAGCGAGGCCCTAATTCTCCGGATTCTCTGGAATCAATCTGGGATTGAATTCATTGATTGCTCTAGCTTACTTATTACTTCCCACGTGTATCGAGGCACGACTCGCCGAGAAGATGCAGCAATTAAAGGCGAGGCCCCCTATGTACGTGCTTTGATAGTAGCATGGACCCGCCGGTGGTAAATGGGGCTTGACCACCGGTGGGGAATAAACCCCAAGGTTCAAGGGCATGCAGCGGGCATGGTAGAAAAGACCTAATGTATGTCATTACGTATGAGAGCCTAGTTGGAAAACCGTAGTCGCCATCCGCGAACGGTTTGAATGCATCTGGAGAAATTTCAGTCCAGATGCATTCGAAATGCTGGCGGATGGCGAGTAGTGCAACTAGGCTCTTAGACTGGAGTAGTTGCATACTGTGGATTTGTTAAGAAGATTTTTTTACGGGCATACAGTGCAGTAGAGGGGGAAGTCTACGTGGCGCGCAAGGATTTGAACCCCCAATACCGCCCCCCCCCTACCTAAGTGCGCCGGCAGTCTCGCTCTCCCTTCGTGTTTTCTTCCCGGCCGCACCCCTCTCGGGCAATAGAGGCAACAGATGCAAACGGAGACAGCAGAGAGCAAAGCAAGATAAGTAACAGAGGAGGCAGCGAATGAAGGCGAAAGAAGCAGAATCGGGCAACGAGGAGGTGTATGACTCGCCTCTCTACGGTTTGCTAGCCTCTGCCGCCTCCGTTCGATAATTTTTTCTGCTTCTTTGTCAGCTTTCTCATTCGATCCCGCCTTCGCTTACTCCTTCGCTTGTCATACCCTTTCATATCGAGGTAGAGTCGGTAATTGAAACTTTCTCGACTGGTTTCTGGATATGTATTTGCTGTTAGATACGCCCAGCACCCCTATTTGCGGTCACATACAGCCGGGAGATTCCTAGTGTGAGTGCGCCCTTGTCCCCTTTTCACTCGCGTTTCCCATCTGGTCTTCATTCCCTTTGTCGTCCGCTTTCTCTTCCGCCTTTTCGCTTATGCACAAACGACAAAAACATGGCAATGTGTCTATCCATGTTCTAGCGTCAGCCAGCAGCAGTGAGAAAGCGGACGCTTGATTCCTCTGATCGGTATTACTAGGAGTTGGGGTCCTTGGGCCTCGCTGCACTACTCTTGAAATGTGCAAAACGAGAGTGAATCGTCCACTAGAACATGGAAAGATACACGGCCATGATTTTTGTCTTTTGTGCATTTCAAGAGTAGTGCAGCGAGGCCCCTTGACTGACCAACAACACGGGTGTGAGTGCGAGTGCGGGTGTGAGTGGGTTGTGTATGTGGGAGAGTGTTTGGGCCTTAGACAGTGCTGTTATTCGGTTGGGGGTGGGGGACGATGAAAAGGGAGGGAGGCGCAGCTACTGGCAAAATGCTCGGGCTTTGCGTTAGCCGGACCTCCATCGGCGGCGGCCCTAATCCCCATCCTTGACCACCGCGGTTTTTTTGGGGGGGGGGAGAGGGGAGGGAGGCAACATGCATCCCCTCTGATGGCTGGAGGGAGGGAGAGAACAAAGTTATGTTCGCAGAGGTCTCCTGTATAAGCCTTAGGAGTAGTGGTAGGTAGGTAGGTAAGTAGGTAGGTAGGTAGGTAGGAAGTGAAGGTGAATTGAAAGAATTTGAAATGAGAGAAGAATCTACCGTGGTTTAAAAAAAAGTAGGGGAAAAAAAAATCTAAGGCATCTTTGTACTTTTTTGTCCCTTTTTTCATAGGACTTAACTGGACTTAACTGGGGCTAGCCCCGAAGATCATTGTATCCACATCTCATTCCATCCAGGATCCGTTCATCAAGGGCCTGGCTCCACTACGCCCGAAATGTGCACGCCGAGAGTGAATCTTCTGCTAGAACGTGGAGAGATACACCGCCATGATTTTTGTCTTTTGTGCATGTCGAGAGTAGTGCAGCGGGGCCCGAAGAGTTGCATGTGTATACCATTCCGCCACTTGATGTGACGATATATATATATATCGTCAAATAGAACTGCCCGGTAAACCGTAGGCAGAGAGGGAGAAGAGGACAACAAACGAGGGGCTGTGACAAACTGTATATATATATCGTCAAATATATATATATATATATCGTCACAGAGAACTGGCCGGTGAACCGTAGGGCAGAGAGGGAGAAGAGGACAAGAAATGAGTGAGGGGCTGTGACAGACGGTTTCGTCGGAGGTACACCTACACGTGTCAACATGAAGCGACGTCTGAACAAAGAGTCTTTCACAGCCCCTCGTTTGAAAATAGCGCGCAAAAAACAAAACAAAAAAAAAGAGAAAAAGGAAAAAAAAAGGAAATAGCGCGCCCGCCAATCTTTGCCGTACGGATTCGTCAATCCGAACAAACCCGTAAAACCCTAAAACCCTAAAACCCTAAACTGTGACGACCACTCAACCTTCACGTGAAATTCGCTGCTTGTTTTCTGTCCTCTTACGAGAAAAGAAGGAAAGCCAAGCTTGGTAATGGCATGGACAACCAAGAACCAAAAATATCAAGAACCAAAAAAAAGAAAAAAAGAAAAAAAGAAGGAAAGCCGTTACGTGGTATGGCCTTCCTGCTGGATCCGTGGTATGGCGAGACAGACTTCAGCGCAAATGTGATGATTGCACGAAGCGGATCGCGCATGACACTGCACGAACCGGATCGCGCAATCTCTCGTGTGACCTTCAGCGCAATCCGTGGTATGACCAGAGAACACTGTGATGATTGCACGAACAGGATCGTGCATGACACACACCACGTGGCCCCTTTGCAGGCGAGTATGCCAATATGAGGAAGATAAACATGCAATGCAGGGTCTTCAGAGGTCAAACGTGCAAATGTGATGTGTGTTAGTCAGGGATTTCGTCAAAAGTTGAACATTTTAACTGTTGTTTTTTGTGTTTTGTTTGTTTTAACTTTCTAAAACAAATGGTATTAAAAAATATATATATACACTTTTTTTTTTTTTTTTTTAAATGGTATGTAGTCACTTGAAATCAGGTTTTCATCATGAAGGGCTTTTTTGGGGTGAGTTTGGGGCATGCTATGCTCGAACTTCGCCGAGTTTTTTTTCTTTTTTTGGGGGGGGGGCGGAAATTTTGTCATAAGGAACTCTTCGGGTTGGAGTTGGGGTGAAATGCGTCATTTTTCTCTTACTCCTATACGAAATCAGAAACTGAAGGTTCAAAAATTTCAGTTCCGGGAAAAAATAAAATAAAAAATTGACCTCTAATCTAGGCTACCAGCCGGGCCGCCCGGGTCCCGGGTGGCCAGCCCGTGCAAGGACCAGGGAAGGTCCCAGCCAAAAAAAAAAAAAAAAAGAAATCCAAAAAATCCGAAAAAAAACTATGTTATGCAGAAAAATAAACTGAACAACTGTTGCCTCAGGGTCACATCGAAATTCTGCACCAAATTTAGAATACAAAATAACATTTTATTTTTTTATTTTTTATTTTATTTTTTAATTGTTTTTGGCCCGGCCGGGCAAGTGACCCCGGGCTACTCTGGTAGCCTAGCCTCTAATTAATTAAACGTCCTCTTTATGAATCGCTCCGTGCAGCAAAAAGTTCAGGCACTTCAGCCTCCTGATGAGTCGGTGAAACTCCGACGAAACAGTTTGTCACAGCCCCTCGTTTGTTGTCCTCTTCTCCCTCTCTGCCTACGGTTTACCGGGCACCTCTGTTTGACGACCGTAGGCAGAGAGGGAGAAAAGGACAACAAACGAGGGGCTGTGGCAAACTGTTCCGTCGTCGGAGGTGGGTCTTCTTTACCCGAAAGGGGAGCGACAGCTCTGACTGCTCCACCTTTCAGAGAATTGCTGGACAGGAAACCCCATCACACAGCTCTCTCTCTCTCTTGCTCGCTCGCTCTCTATCGCGGTCAGCAGGACCGAATGCCATGAACTGCAGGACATTAACTGTGAGAAAAAAGCCTCGGGGTCTTCAGTTCAAATTTGAAGTGTGATCTCATCGTCATCATATCTCGGCGATCAGTTTCATTTGGAGAAAGAAGAGGATGATGACATCATTCGAAAATCGTGAATGGGTGACGGTAGACAAATGGAAGGTATGACTTGTGGGAGATGTTGTGTTGATGTCATCAACTTATTTCTCCGAATGGAAATGATAACCAACACAAAGTATAGTTGCAATTGGACAGTGGCAACTCAAAGGTATAGGTGGCTGTGCTTATTGCTGGACTGATGACCTGGGATCAGGGATTCACTAAGCTCCCAAAGTCCCTCCCACACCCTCCCTCGCCCCGCTCTCCCCTCCCTCCCTCCCCCGGCCCCCTCCTCAACACCCCATCTCAACCTCCCGCGAGAATACGATAGTAACTTAGTGATGATGATGCCTGAGTAGTGAGGACGGCAACATGATGACAAGTGATACGATGGAATAATGAAGTTGATAAGATGGTGTGGGCTTTGGTTGTTGTCCTTTGCTGCAGGATGAATCGATGTTCGTTCTTACGAGCTCGAACGACAGAACCATTGTGTTATGGGATATCAACAAGCAGCAGGTCAATCACAAAGGAAATAGTGCCCATGGGTCCAGTCCTCGGGTTGTCGTGAAAACGGACGAGATCCATACTCAAGGGATCTTTGCCATGGACGAGTTCGACTGCAAAGTCGCCAGTGCATCCAAAGACAGGACGTTGGCTATCTCTTCTGTTTCCAGTGCGAAAGGATTTGTGAAGGAGAGAGTCCTAAGCGGCCATCACAGTGGTCCAATTCGTGGCGTAAGCTTCAGGTATGCACGCACGTATGCATGCATATGCATGCACAACCCTTTGACCGACTGACTGACTGACTGACTGACAAAAAAAAGACACGTGCTTTTTCCTCTCCATTTTCCACTCGCTTTCGTTGTTTTCTCCTTGCAAGATAATAAAGTGTGATCGGTTTACGCCGAACCTCACGGAGTTTGCACACCTATTTGTGTGTGTCTGGTTGTTAATTTACTACTCTCTTTGATCTCTGTTTTTTTTTTTTTTTTTTTTT